TATGGGTACTTTTTTTTTCCCCGTTAATCGCAATTTTTATTTTTCTTTTTTTATTATATTTTTCATATATGTTCTTTATTATATATTTTTATTTTATGTCAATTTTTATTTATTCATTTTTAAATTGATTATTTTCGCAAAAAAAGTTATTTTTTATAAATATTTTAATTATTTTTATTTAATTATTATCTATTATATTTTATATTTTTATATATATTTACAAAAACGATATATATATTTACATTGAAATAACTAACCTTAACCTTAACCTTAACCCTAACACTATGCCTGACCTTGCTGCCTGGCCAAACCAAACCCTCAGTCGATGTAGCAGCACTCCCTTGCGAGTCAGGCTATTTGTCAGCCGATATATGTACTTTTTGCTTTGCATTAAAACTATTTACGGGGGACATTATTTTTCAAAAAAAAACGCTACTTACAAGGACCAAAAAATTATCGATTATACTAAAATGTCCCCGATACTGCTAATGTCCTCGTAAGTATCCATTTTTATGTAAATTCTGTTCTCGAACATGCTATTCTATGGATATATATATATATATATATATATATATATATATATATATATATATATATATATATATATATATATATATATATATATATATATATATATATATATCAGAGCAGGTGAATGATTTGTATTGCCTGGAAAGCGAATTAGAAAGTTGAATATTTGTGTTAGAGATTGAAAAAGGCAAACGTTAATTAAATGTTATAGTTATCGCTTTTTTATGAAATAATACTCTTTATATTAGTAAGCAAATAAAGCAAGTAAATAAAAACTAACGGCGAATTGAAGTTATTGTAAAGCCGTCATTTTGTAATAAATGTAACATTATTTTGGTTGATTGTTTACATTTCTATTAGGAAGAGCTTAAAACACTAGGACAAGTTATATAACAATAATAGTTATATTTAAATATTTATTGTTATTTTTAGACCGGTATGCCTATAAAATTTCCGGATACGTCACTATATATATATATATATATATATATATATATATATATATATATATATATATATATATATATATATATATATAAATATATGTATATATATATATATATTTAATTATCTTCGCTTCCAACAAGGCTGCAAGCAACCACTAATTAGTGTGGGAAGTTACTGGAAGGGAAAAGATGAAGATTGTAGAGGAAGATAACGATTGACAGACGACTTAAAAGATTGCAAATTATATAAATTAGGAAAGCAAGATGAAGGAAGCGAATTCCAAAGAACTGATGTTCGAGGAAAAAAACTAAACGAATAAGAGTTTTTGGAGCACTTAGGAACAGTAACAGAAAAGAGATAAGACTTAATTAAATGACGAGTAACACGATAATGAATTTTAGTAGATGGCACAAGACACGCTAGCTCATTCGAGCAGTGCCCATTATAGTATTTGTAGAAAAGAGAAAGAGAAGCAACATTACGACGATGTGACAGAGGTTGAAGGTTGGCTGCAAGAGTAGGTCCTACTATGTTTACAATGCGTTTTTGCACCTTGCCTAAAAGAGAAAGGGCATCATTAGAAGATCCGCCCCAGATATGGCAACAGTATTCCATACAAGGCCGGATTTGAGATTTATAGAGATAGAGAATAGAATCCAGAGTAAGAAAGTGACGAGCTCGATAAAGAGAAGCAACTTTAGCAGATGCTAATTTTGCAACGGATTTGATATAAGGTTTCCAAGAAAGATCAGAAGTAAGAGTTAATTCTAGAAGATGAAGAGTACATTACCGTTCATAAATATAGGAAGGTCTAAACTATTGCGATAACGATTGGCCAAAAAAAATTGAGTTTTATCTGAATTAAAGTTCACCAGCCACTGTAAGCCCCATGTTGTAGCAGAAGTGAGATCCTTTTCAAGCTCAGATGCCCCCTGCAAGCAATCGGAGGGAGTTGGCTTCTTATCGTGACAAGAATAAATGGTATCATCAGCGAACAATGCTACCTTAGATGTGAGAATATCTGGAAGATCGTTAATGTAAATTAAAAAGAGTATAAGGCCTAGGATTGAACCATGGGGAACCCCTGAGGTTACAGAATAAGAAGAAGAGTGCTGTTCATCAAGGACAACTTTTATACAACTTTTATACTTTTATACTTTATATATATATATATATATATATATATATATATATATATATATATATATATACATATACATATACATATATATATATATATATATATATATATATATATATATATATATATATATATATATATATATATATATATATATATATATATATATATATATATATATATATATATATATATATATATATATATATATATATATATATATATATATATATATATATATATATATATATATATATATATATATATATATATATATATATATATATATATATATGTATGTATATATATTTATATATTTGTTACAAGATTTACCAGCATATCTGGAAGATCGTTAATGTAAATTAAAAAGAGTATAAGGCCTAGGATTGAACTTTGGGGAACCCCTGAGGTTACAGAATAAGAAGAAGAGTGCTGTTCATCAAGGACAACTTTTATACAACTTTTATACTTTTATACTTTATATATATATATATATATATATATATATATATATATATATATATATATGTATATATATATATATATATATATATATATATATATATGTATGTATATATATTTAAATATTTGTTACAAGATTTACCAGCATATATATATATATATATATATATATATATATATATATATATATATATATATATATATATATATAATATATATATATATATATATATATATATGTATGTATATATATATATATATATATATATATATATATATATATATATATATATATATATATATATATATATATATATATATATACATGTATATATGTATATATATATATATATATATATATATATATATATATATATATATATATATATATATATATATATATATATATATATATATATTTATATATATTTATATATATTCATTCCATTATTGAATTTTAGATAATTCTTCAAACGAATGCGACTTCAGAAATCTCACGTTTATTCGTACATCTAATTTCAAGCAAAAGCATTTATATATTGGACAGTGGATTTAACACTAGAAAACTTTTTTTATAATTGATGACATATTTTTATAAACATAGATATATTAGATTGTAAAATAAAATTTATTTTTGTTAATTGTTTGAAAATGTTTATATAAATTGTTTAAAAAAAGTTTTTTTTTTCTTTATTGCTATATATTGAAATATATGTTAAATATATAGGAAAGTCGTTGTTTACATTTTTATTTTGGCCTTAAGCAACTAGCTTAAATATCTTAAATAATTATTATTAAATATTAAAAATCTATTAAGTAATTATATATTATATAAATATCTAATAATAAAAAATGTTCAAGAAGTCAAAAAAGTATCCGTGCAACGAAGTAATAATGCAAAAACATTGAACGGTTCGTTGAAGAACTATAATGGGTTCTTTAAAGAACCTTATTTTTAGATTCTTCCGTAGAACCTTCACAAAGGGTTCTTTGAAGAACCTCTACGAGTTCTCCACCAGCGTCAACGCAAAGAACGCTTAAAGGTTCTTTGAAGAACCATTTGGGTTTAGAGTGTAGATACAATATAAATGAAATGATTATTATTAGATTATAGCAGAGCGACCAAAGGTTGCGAGTTCGATCCCGCTCGAAGCTCTTAAACGGCACGAAGAAATTTTTTATTTATTTGAAGACATTTGCTAATTTGATAACGTAAATGTTATGATGCGCTTTAAAATCTATTGTTTGTTTACCTGTTAAAAAAAGAACTAAATTTATTCAAGTAAAAATTTATGCAGAATTTCTTTTTTTAAACTCTTTACAATAAATTTGTTTTGTTTTTAATTTAAATTTAAAAATACTATCACTATTTTTACTTTGAAAAACTTAATGGCCAGGAATAAGTTCGCAATGGCTATGTTTTGGATCTCTGGCCACGATTTGGTGTTTTTTAAGCCTTGTAATATTTGTGCTAAAACTTGTTTATTTATTAACAAAAACTTTCAAACTTGTCATAAATTGTATCTTAAGAAGTTTTTTAAGAGTTTAGAAATATTTTTAAGAATCTAAGCCATTCGCGGTATTATATGAAGCAATTTCAAATTAAGCGGTCAGGATTTGGTAGTTTTACCCGAAAAAAGTTAATTTAAAATTAGAGAACATTGTTATTAAGCAGTATATAGTGCATTTTAAGCAGTATATAAGGCATTTTTGATACTTAAATCATTTTTAAACATTGCTCATTGTTAGTTTTGTTTATTGTTATTCGATATTTTTATTAAATAGCACCGTTATTTAAGTGTAAGGTAAATTTAATAAGACTTCAATGTACCCAGACAGCAAGCTTACATTGGACCAACGTTGGGCCAATGCATGATGATGCATTGGCCCAACGTTGAAAGTCGATGTTGGCCTAATGCAGGTCTGATCATTGGTTAGGTATTGTCCCAATGTTGTGTACAACATTGGCCCAATGTTGTATACAACGTTTACCCAACATTGGCCCAACGTTGTATATAACGTTAAGCCAATGTTGTATACAACATTGGCCCAACGTTGTATACAACATTGGCCCAATATCGTATGTTATATATCGGCCTAACGTTTTATGCAACATTAGATCGTTGTTACAAATAAGATGATTTGCATTGCTACATTGAAAAATTATAGAGAAAAAAAAGAATGCATGATACAAGTATAAAAAATTATTTATTTAACATAATTTATCGGTTAAATATACATATTGCAAACACCAAACTTAAACCAAAAACTGACACATTGAGTTTTAAATAAAAAAATTCACTATAAAATTTATAGAGTAGTTTCGATATTGGCTGAGCTACTTGTTATTGAATATTGTTTAGCTTATGATATTTGGTGCCCACGATTATTATTTTTTCTTCCTCTATCTCTATCACATGTCTGCATAAGCCATGCTTATTTGAATTCACAGTTTCTGCAAAAAAAAATAGTTGTTTGTTTAATTATGCACCAAAGAAACATATCAAATTGAAAGTTTGTAATGCAAAATTGAAACTGAAAAAATAAAATTTTCTAAACCACTTACCAATAGCAGCATATGCAATCAATATTTTTTCTATTCCAATTATTTGTCCTCTCCCTGCATAGTTTAATTTTACAACTAGGCCATTTTAAAAAACTATTATTAGCAAATAAAATATACAATCTCCTTTGTCTTTAACTCCGATTTGTGCCAAATAATTGACCTGCAAAAATACACAACCTTGCAATAATTAAAGTAACTTTTGTTTAGACTTAAATTAATATAAAATGTAATTTACAAAAAATCTTCAAAGAGTATTTTATTTAAAGTATATAAATTGTACAAAGATATCATACAAAATGCATAAAAAAATTATAAAAAAATATTTACCATTTACTTACGTATTTTCTTTTCTTCCAGAGTACTTGAATTTTTCACTGCTTTTAATAGCAATGACACTCTTTCAGGCAATACAATAATTAGTATACCTTTGTTACTCAAATTTTTATAACTGAATTTGATGTGTTTTGTAGTTTACCAAGTTGTACTTCAATGACGACTAAGAATGAACACTAAGAAAAACATAAATTTCAGAAAAAATAAATGGGTAGCACCAAAAAAAACATTATAGCTTAATTGAGCGTTGTATTTTGAAAATGTGACAAGCCACAAAATTTAAATTTTACAAGGGAGTGAAAAATATTTCTCCTGTAAAAAATTTTATTTTTATTTTATCTAAAGATTGTTTCTTTTCTCTAAAAAAATCTTTACTTTATCTAAAATAATCTTTATTTTATCTAAAAATCTTTATTTTATCTTAATATTCTTTAATTTTAAGTAAGGTTATTTGAAAAGAATATTTTCAAAAAATTATTCTTTTCAAATTCAAAAATTATTCTTTTCAAACTCATCACGTTTTCAAAACACAGCGTTCATTTGTGAAACGAGTAACTTCTTAACTAGAATTACTGATTTTTCCATGACTATCTAAAGAAAAAAATAATTTCCTGACTTTTTCAGGTTTTCCACGACTTTAGCCAATATTAACAAATTTTCCAGATTTTCAAGGCACAGTACGGACCTTATCCAATGTTTGTAAATCATTTTAGTTCTGAATTTTAATAACACTATTTTTAAAAATAATATCATCTATAAAAATATTGTATTACCTTCGTCTATTAGATGAATTTAAATAAACGTTTATTTAATGAATAATAATGAATCACCAGCAACTGTTAAAACTTTAAACTGATATGAATACTGATATAAATACAAATACTGTTGTTTTTTTCAACATTTGATTTCAAATGATTTTCAATTGGTGACACCAACTTTGAAATCTAACAAAAAATTTTTGTTACGTTCATAAACTTAAATGTTCTCAAAACAACTAAAAAAACCTGGCAAGTTTTTCGCAACTAAATATATTTTCTGTGGTCAGTATTCAAGAGCAATATATGAAAAAGTTTTTAAAATTGTAAAAGTTAAAGCTATGAATAAAGATTTTCAATCATTAGACACTTACCAATTAATAAATTTGTTCATTCAACTTCTCAGAGCAAACATTAAACTTCTGTAAAGATTTTGGAGTTACAGGTAAATCCCAAAGTTTAATAATATTTTTTGTTTTATTATAAGAAAAGGAGGATAAATTATCTACACCAAGATATACACAATTTTTTGTCTCTTCAATCTTTATTTTGACTGGTCATTTTCGCTGTCTTCCTTTTTTGTCTCCAGAGCAGAAATTTAGACTTATGCTAAATTCAATCTTGTATTGCTTTGAAAATCTATAAATCAAATCCTTATTAATTAAGTTATAACTAAAGTTAATGTAATATAATAATGTAATAATAATAAAAGCATAAAGTTGTTAATTGTTGTACGCAAACTAAATATGAAAAATATCCAGAGATATTAAATTAAAAAATAATTAAACCAAGAATAATGTCCCTCTGCCTCGTAAAAATGATGGAATATTAGAAAGCTCTACATAAGTAGAATATAAGTTCTAGTAACATCACATTTTGTACACTGTTTTAATATGTTAGTAGATGGGGTTTCATAATCAAACACAGAAAAAATCAAACAAAAGAGACATATTTAAAATGTAAAATATCAGCTTCTAACAACTTCAATGCCACATACATATTATTGATACCTCTAATAGTATATCTTATAATAGCTATATAATCTAAACTATTATAAATAATGAAAAAAAAAATTATACTGTATGACATTTTAAATGTTTGATTTATTTTAATAAAGAAGACATTTAAAATATCTCCTTTATTAAATAAATCGAACATTTGAAATGTTTCATTTATTTATAAATAATAATAATAAATTTTATAAAATAATAATAAAATTTAATAAATTAAATTTAATAAAGATTATTAAATAAAACAAACATTTGAAATGCCAATACAGCAATAAAAATAAAAAAATAACTTTAAGATGTTACAAAAAAATAATTTGATTATTGCCTTTATTAAAATATTAATAATTTAGATTGTAGTAAAAAATGTTTTAAGCATATTATTTAAATGTTAACAAATATTTCATTTAAAAAAACAAAACATTAAGTCACGAGAATCTCTTGAAGTTTACTTCTTATAAGAAACCTTTTAAGATTCTAAGAAGATTATTAAATTTAGCTTCTTTTTTTTATTTTTATAATTTAATTAAATGGAAATATATATTATAGTATCAAAACCTTTTTTCGTTCTGTCTAACGATACCATTTTTAAAAAATGTTTTAAAGTATATACTAATCCATATTGGCTACGGTAAAAAGTAAAAACGGATTTTTATGGCAAAGTATTAAGCCTAAACTACATTGGCCAAATATTGGCCCAACGTAGTACGATAATTGCAAAAAACCGATTTGTAGAATTGCAATATTACGCCGAAAAAAAAAAAACATTGGCTAAATGTTGGCCCAATATAGTACGATATTTGCAAAAAACAGGTTTGTAGAATTGAAAAAAATACGCCAAAAAAAAAACATTGGCTAAATGTTGGCCCAACGGAATAAACTTGCCAATGTTAAAACTTACATTGGGCCAATGTAAGCTTGCTGTCTGGGTATCTACAGTACATTTTTTTTAATGAAGAAGATTAAAACTTTATATATTTTTTATTTTAATTGATTTTAGTATAAAGAATATTATTCATGTTTTTTGTAATCTCAACAATAAATACTTGGTGTTAAAATTAATAATATCCAAATACAGTAACCATTGCTAGTTACGCGGATTTGCACTATCGCCGACGAAATTTTTACTAGTGTTTTTATCTCGCTTGTTTTTTAATCTTTTATCTACCTTGCTATTAAAATTACGCAAATAAAAAAAAATCGTTCCGAATGGGATATGATCTAAACACAACCTTTTTATGAATCTCGTTGCGTTTTTATTATATTGTTTATAATTGAATGTTTCGGACGTATTTGATACACTTCTAAGTGCAATGACTCGAAAGCACGTTCTTGTTTTCATTTTTAATATGGGGAATGTAATATTTTAGGCGGATGTGATCTTTTATTACAGTACCTTTTTCGTTAATTAAAATCTTATAACAGTTAGAAACAGTAATAATGACGTATTTATTTCTTTAATGAATATCTTTAACAAAATAAATAGATTATAAAATTTATATTTTATAGATGAAATTTTCTCAAAGTGTTTTTATTTAAGAGTAAACTTACTATTTTAATCTTGATACATAAGTATAGCAATATTTTTCCTATTCTTCTCGTGATTCAATATGTTTTAAATCAATTACAACCACTTTTTCTCGTAATTCAATCCGTAAATATTTATGAATTTTTTCAGAACTCTTCAAAAATTCGTATTCAATAACGTTTGTAGACATATAAAGTAGCTTATTTTGTAAAAAAGTCAAAAATGATATTTTTTTACCTTAGGGGCCATCCATAAACGACGCCATCCAAATAGGATGGGGGGGAGGGGATCGAGTTAAAAAGGACAAAAAAGGACAAGGGGAGGGGGGGAGGTTGTCAGAAAAGGACGTCACTTTATAGATTTTTTATTTTAGTTTAATTAACATAGAAAACTAAGTAAACATGTGTTTTTAAGAGGATAATGTATGAGAATATTTTTAATTTTATTTTTCAAAGGTGTAGCAGCAGATTCAAACATCATTGCGAGATGAAATAAATTTTTTTGAGTTAAAAAACCGGGGGGGGTTTAAGATTTTATGACGTCCTTTTCAAGGGGGGTATAGGGAAAAAGGACAACTGGTGACAAAGGGGGGGAGAGGGGGTCAAAAGTTGGCTAAAAAATGGTGACGTCCTTTATGGATGGCTTTGAAAAACGGCTGCAGTATGGATGAAACAACGAATATGTTGAAATGAGATAATTTGACGCAAAATTTAAAAGCTCTAAACAAAAGCCACTAAACCAAAAGAATAAAAAGTAATTACAGTTCAGTGCTTAAAAATTTTATTATAGTGAAAAATTTTATTATAGTGAATATAGTAATTGTAGTTCAAAATTTTATTATAGCACTTAAAAATTTTATTATAGTGTGTTGGTTTTTGCAAAGAAACCTTATATAAATCATTTTTTAATTTTGATATAAACTAATTTATATGCAACATAATGAAAATCAATTTAAAAAGTGTAAGATAAATACAAAAGAAAACTTGACGCATAAAGGTTTATTTTGCCACAAACTTTGCCCAAAATCTTTTTGGCTTAACTTTTAGATAAGCGTTTAATATTATTCTTTATTTCTTAATCATAAGAAATGATTTCTTTTATAACTTTGGTTTAGTGCTTCGATCTGCTTAGATCTTCTTAATTCCATTTGAATAGCGTTACGTACGAAGTATGCAAGTGTAAACGTCTTTAGCATATGTTGAGTTTGCAGGCATTATATGGAATAATCACGTATATCTATATATCTATAAAATGAGAAAACTTGAAAATTATAATTTGAATTTTAGAAATCTTTGTTTCTATATTATTATTTTTTTGCTATGAACATATAAGTAAATATATAAGCAAGATTAAAAAAAATTCAAAATTCATTACGCTAAGAGAAGGTCGTAAACCCTCCAAAACAACACTGATGACAGCGCAATCACTGAGCTATCAATTTAATGCATTTAGCAGAAAAAAGGTGCGCATGTTATGTTTTTTGCTCTTAAGTTTTTTTTCAAACTAAATTGTTTTACTAAATAACATTGAAGTAAATAAGGAATAAGTATAGAAATAATCGGCGTGGAATAGATATGTCAATTGGTAAAGATCTGTATTTTACGGATCCGGAAAACTAGGATATATATGAAAAAAGTAAAGAAAAGTTTGGTTTGGAATAGATATACATAGACCCATTTTTTTACGGGTCCAATCTCAGCTAGTGGGATAATATTGGCGCAATATTGTTTGCGAATATTGGCAAGATAATATTAGCGTAATATTGCTTGACAATATTGGCGCAATATCGGGTATCCAGGCCAAGATTAGCCAAGATACCCAATATCACGCCAATATTACTCCAATATTGTTTGCTACTTGGGTAGTTATCTTGATAAAATTTTATTTTTACTGTATTATTAATTATATTTAAGTATGATATTTATGCAATCAGTAGCGAATCATGACAGGCCCTGACAGGCGAATCATGACATAAGCGGAGGCCCTTAGC